AAATTGCAGTGCTAAATAATAAAAATGACAATTTTTGTTATTTTTTGGTGAATTCAATGTTTTTATTTATACGAGCAATAAACAAGAAATTTTCACCCAAAAACAACATTATTTCATATCAGCAAAAAATCATATAACATAAGAAATCATTGTTTTATTAAACAAATTTCCAGCAAAATTTCACAGCATCATTAAAAAAAAAAAAAAAAAAAACGTGATTTCATAAATTTTCAGAACATATTATCAGAAAAAACAGCAACAATATATTTCAGCAATTAACAGCATAATTGCATAGCAACATTTCAGAAAAACTCGATATCAGTTGTTTAAGGGACTAGGTAGCATCCTAAAAAAATGATTAATACAATCCAAAGCTTTCTTAAACCCGACAGAACCAAATGCAACCAGTAAAACCCGACAATGGCGTTTTCCGGTGGTTTAAGGGCTGCCGGAGGCGACTCCGGCCTCCACAACGGGCGAGATGAGTCGGGAATGATACTTGGGAAATGGAACTCATACCTTCTCGTAGTGACCGGGATGGCTCAAGAAACGATCTTAAAAAGCTTCTTTTTTCCCTTGAAACCCTAATTCGGCACCTCTTCTTTCTCTCTTGTTTTCTCTTGGGATTCGAAGCTAAAAAGGATGTAGAAAGGCTTCATATGGTCGATGGGTGGGTGTATTAAGGGTAAGGATCCAAATACTTTCCAAGAAATCGAGTTTTGCAGGTCTAAAGTTGGAAAAGAAACAGCATGCGCTGATGCGTCGCTGTAAGGAGAAGAAGACAATCAACTTTCGGATTTTGGCAACTTCGGGCCTTGAACTTTAGCATATATGCGGAATTAACCCCAAACCCGATTCTCTCAAACAAAAATGTTTTCCATAAGAAAAAATTGCACAAATGGTCCTTGTGGTTGTCAAAATTGACTTTAGTTCAAAAAAATTTGGTGGTGCAGTCCAATTTTGAATACCTTGTGTGATTTTGGTCCCTATGGTTCACATTTGTTGTGGTTTTGGTCCATGAACTACCTGAAATGACGAATATGCCCTTAAATTATTCTTTTTTTTTCTTTTAACTATTTTATTATTATTGTAATTAAATATAAATAAAAAAAATAAAAATCTCACCCACCCACCCCTATTATCTCTTCTCGTCTACCTTTATCTCCTGTAAAAAAAACCACCATGCATTCCAAGAGACAAGAATCATCCAGTAACCACAAATCGTCTCTCTCAAGATCCACCACCATCAAACCCACTTGTCGGACACCATCACCGTCATTATTAGACCACCACCGTTCCCTTCGTCTTCTTCGGTACGTGGTTGTACCAACAAAAGAATGAGACAAAGAGGCAAAGAAAACCTTAGGTTTTCCCTTCTTCAATAATGATATCTTCTTGTCGGAATCCAGATGTAGGGTGTACCCTTCTCGGTTCGGATTGAAGATTATCGGAGTTCAAATGTAAGTAGTGGTGCTGAAAACCCTAATCGCTAAAAAGAGGCCCGATGATGACAACATATGGTGAATAAAGAGGCTCGATGAAGGTTTATGCTCGTGTAACAAATGGTGATAGAGGTTGTGGAGGTGATGAAGGTCATTCGATGACGGTGAAGGTGCTTTGGCTAGCTGATGACGCCAGTGAAGGGTAAGGACGACTCCACTGGTTTTATATGATGGTTGCCTAATGATAATGATGATATTGGTGGTGGTTTCAGCAAAGAATGACGGTTGTCAGTGGTTTCCGGTGAGATAAGGTAGAGAGGATGTTGGGGGTGGGGTTTAATTTTTAGGCTTAAGCACCCCTTGCATCGTTTTTGGGCACTTGGTTTAGATCTAGGCAAGAAAGGAATATGCTAATGGTGGTTTTCAGCTTTGTTAGTGGTTACCGACGAGACAGGGGGAGAGAGGACAGTGGGGATGGGGTGGATGGCGGCTGATAGTGGTGGCAAACCATGGTGTGGTGGTTGTTTGTGAACTTTTATCAGGTTAATAAATGAGAGATGGGGTTAAGGGTGAGGGAAACGGATGTGGTTTCGGCGGATGGTTGTAACACTTGAATTGGGTATGTTTCCTTTTAACCATTTGTATTTAAATTATTGCATTTTTGGTCCTTATGGCTAGTACGCGGGGCGTACCATAGTGTACGCTTAGCGTACTAGCGAGGGGTTGATCGCGGGTTCGAACCTCATACGTTGGACGTACGAGGGTTACGCTGGGCGTACGAGGGGTTTTATGAAACCCTGATTTTGGGGTGTTACACCCTATATATTCACCTTAAGTCCCAAGAGCTAGCCTATTTATTAGCCTCCATTGTCCTAAAACCCTAAATTTCGACCCTTAGCCTTCATTTTGTGTCTTTGAGCTCTTGAGAAGAAAAGTTGGAGTTTTGTTACTCATTTTGAAGGGATAGAAGAAGATTAAAGGTTTATTACTTGGTGTGAAGCTTAAAGATCTAGAATCATCACTCCTTTTGCAAGTCGTTTGAGGTATAAAGATCTTATCTTGACTAGTTCTCTTATGGATCCTCTTTTGGACTTGTTTATGGCCAATTTAGTCCCTTTTGGTTGGTCCTTGTGAGCTAGGGTCGTTTTAGAAGCCTAACCTTGTAGATCTGAGCATTTTAGGGTCCTCTTGTCCATAAAAATGCAAGTTTGGTGATATTGGTGGTCTCATGCATGCATTAAGTCATTTATTAAGCTCTTTTAAGCTCTAAGAGCCTCATTAAGCCATGCATGCACGTAAAGTTCACAACTTTACGTGATAAACCACCTCAAGGAAGTCAGATCTAAGTTTTGGAGTGAAGTCTTAACTGTTTAAGAGCTAAATGAGAAGGTTGGCCAAACTAGTCGAGTACGCTGGGCGTACAAGCCGGTACGGGCAGCATACAAGCCCTAAAGCGAGTATGATTAGCGTACAAGCCGAGTACGCCTCGCGTACTCAGCAGTGGGCTTCGGTGTTATTGGATTCTCGGTCTTGGGCCATTGTTGTCTTGGGCCTTGTTGGGCCATTAGAATTCTAGTGATGGCTGTTGGTATTTTAGCAGACTTTTGGTTGAAAGCCCACGAAAGAGATTTGGGCCCAATTTGGAAAATATGGCCATAATTGGGCTTGGAATGATTATTTTGGAATTTTGGGCTTTTGGACAATTGGATTGGGCCTAGGATTTGGGCAAAGTTGGGTAAAGGGTAAAAAGGTCTTTTACCCTAGTTTAGACTCTTAGTATGAGTTGGGATTCAATTATTGATCGGATAATTATTTTGTGATTTATAGCTCGAGAATTTTAGCGGGCCATCAGCCAGAGATTTATCTGTGAGATTCAGCAGTGTGAGGTGAGTTTCTTCACCATGTTTAGCGAGTCTAAGACACCAATTGTTGATTAATGTTTTTCAGGTAGTTCCTCTAATCGGAGAAAGCAGCCAGGCTGACTAACGACATGTACATCACAGATGATTATGGTTTGATTTTCATTGTTTTTTGATATATTGTTTTTATGAATGGTTTTGTGGCATTAACTAATGGTATTCTGTATGTATAGAAAAAGAATGTTATATTTATGTTTATAAAAAGAAAATTTTGGTTAAAAATGTAGGATGTTACAATAACGATGTATTTTGGTATAGGTCTTTCCAAGTACGTTTTGGTGTGAGTATGTTTTTTTAACCGCAAATCTAATCTACTCGTGAATCCACCTACGTCCCAGACGAGACTTGAACTTTCGAGCTCAAGGAGGAAGGGCAACACCTGATATTGTTGGGTTAGAAGCACTTTAATGGTGTGTGTGTGTGTGTGTGTTTAAACTATAAAAATGCACGTCTTGCAATAATCCTTATTATCCAATGTAAAAAAATGGACAAATGCTTGTCTTTTTCTACTGGGTACTTATATATATACATGGGAAAATCGAGGCTAGTGTATGTGATTCTGATATACTTTAACCACCATTTTCAGTAAGTGTATGTTAAAGGGTGAGATCGCATTCAGTGATGGGATTTGGACGTATAACAAAGGGGTGTCTATTAACATTTGTGGAATTTCTTTGTGTGACATGGATTTTTTGTTTGTATATCTTTGATATGGGCATATTCTTTTCTGTGCGACATATCTTTTGCATGTATCCCATTGTTGCTTTGTTTATTACATTTTTGTATCTCGTTGATACTTGGGTTGTGGTGACTAGGTAAGGCATGTGGAAGATGTCACGAGTAACTCATTGATTCATGTTCAAATCATGACATTACTCAGCCTTTGTGGCCATGGAGGTTCGTCTGCATTTAGCCTCATGTTCGCAACAAGGATTAGTCGGTGCGTGAAAGCGGACCCGAAACCCTCGTTAGGGAAGTTCCTTTTCCATATATATATATATATATATATATATATATATATATCAAAGTTTGTTGCTATTACCGTAAATTTCTTATCAAATTGGTGTTGGTCAGCGCTTCTCTTTTGCCTTCATAACATCTAAAAGTCTGTTGCTATTACGGTGGAGGCCTCATTCGAGTTTGGTGTTGCTCATGGTTAAATGATGGGTTTTTGAACTGTATCTGTGGTGATTGTATACTTGTTTATCCTGTATTTTAGCCGCTAACAAAATCTCAGCCATTCTTTAAAAAAAAAAAAAAAAGAGAACTAATGTGTAACATTTTTCTTATAGTTTTTAACTTTCATTAAAATTAAAGATGTAATAAATAAGCACAAATTTCAAAATCTAAGAAGTTTGTATAAAACATATTAACAAAAACATGCGTTCAAAAATACAGCCTCCAGTATTTTATACCCTGGCAAAGTAGTGTCAATAGTGTCAATAACACCTGTTTCTTTTATACCTCAAAAAGGTGATGCATTATTACACAAGTATTCTTGTCTTGCAACAGAATCTAGTCGCCAAACATAAACCATTTAAAACCTCCTAAATTTCTTTTATTCAAAAACATTAATATCATTCTTGTAAGAATAACTATAACCATCTTCAACTTCCTTAATCAATTATAAAATTAAAGAAACCAGTTAAATAAATTGTCAATGCGCCAACACAACAATGAAATCATGAAACAATACACACAATTAGTTTCAATAATCAAATACCGAATGAAAACCGAAACCAAGATTATATTTACAAATCTAAGTTACACGATTCCCCTCAAGAGCTCACCGAAGGTCCAAAGTACATACAAATTGGCGGATCAATCCTCAAAATCGAGAGAATCGCGGACGGAATCGTCCAAATCCCGTCCCCACAAATCAAACCGGAAGCAACCGCACCCGCATAATCCTCCGCATCCTTCTTATTCACTCTTTCCCACACAAACAAAATCACCGTCCCAACAAACATATCAATCGCAAAATACGCACCGATATAAAACGGCACCGCCATCGCCATCGGAATCGGAACAAACTGCGCCACCTTCGCCGGACTCCAATCCCTAACCAAATTCAAAACCAACGCCGCCACAAAAAACCCACAACACAACGCCAAACAATGTTTCGGAAGCTCCGAAAACCCTTCCACTCCAAGAATCGCCATTTCTCGATATATAACCGCGTACGGCGCTTTATACGGACTATCGGGTGTCCCGATCTCAAATGCGCTCCAAAACATCCAAAAAGTCAACGGCGCGATCACACACCCCATTGCAGTGCCAACCAACTGACTCACGAACATCGATTTGGCCGATGATAAAGTTAGGTAACCGGTTTTGAAATCTTGCATTAGGTCGGCGGCGGTGGCGACGATCGACATCATGACGCCGCACGCCGCTAATCCGGCGATGACGCCGCCGTCGGATCCGACGATTGACGCGATGATGAAGAGGCCGATTTTGCCGTACGTGGACGCGAGGCTCCAGTCTGTGAGACCGGTTCCGTATGAGTTGCAGAAGGCGAGGGCGGGGGCGATGATGTATGAGGCGAGGACGAGGTACCATTTTAGAGGTGGGAAGATTAAAGGCATTGTGGCCATGGATATTGCGACTAGGGCTACGTAGCCTGAGGCTGCCAACCATGTTGGGATACTGTCTTTTAGGAACACGGCGTCTCTTTTTTGTTCCTCTAGTTGTGCTTTGGTTTTTTCGGAATCTAGAAAGAAAAATTTTAGGGTATTTAAATCGTATTTAGCTTATTGATAAGGTTATGGAGCTTTTTCCACAAGTTTCCAAATATATACACTTGCATGATAAAAGGAAGAGGTTTATATGACATTGGAAATAAAAGTTGAATGTTACCTAGGAGCTGTTTTGTTGTAGGGAGATCTTGTGGTTTGGTGGTGTTGTTCCATATTGCCTTAACGGAAATAGCAACTATCTTTACTAGATTGTAAAGACCATCTCCAAGAATCAAGGAAATAGCTATAAATACCTGCAAAAGCAACAATGTTGATGATGTGTTATCATGGGCTAAATGCAAGAGCAATGTACTTTTGTTTATTTGTGTATTATAGCATCCTACTTTTTTTTTATTATGACATTGTACTTCCATTTTTTTTCTTATTTATGCATTATACTTTGAAATAGCTATCAAATTATACATTGTACTTGTAAATATATTGTTTTTTTGGCTAAGTTACAAAAATGGTCCCTCTGGATGTCAATATTTACCGCTTCTGGTCCATTTTTTGACACTTTTATAATAAAAGAAATCACATAGGTGGAAAAATATTTACCTTGTAACCGTAGAGACCTTTGAAGTCATTGGTGCCAAGATCAGCTGGATACCAATCGCCTGCACGTGTAGTAATGTACGGCCAAAGAAATCCCCATGAGACAATAGCTCCAAAAAGCACCGAACAGTTGACTATGTGAGGGCAAATAAGTCCACATCCAACATAAGTTGGACTAAAGTCAAAGTAAAATCTGCATAAACAAGTAAAACCAAATATCAAAAATAAGTAGCAACCTACTTTCACTTATTTGTGTATTATAGCATCCACCTTCCAATTCTTTCTATGCAGTTATAGCAGTGAAAATTGCTTTGTATTTGGGTGGGATTGATATAACTGGGTCGATTTTTTAAGGGTTGATCTCATAAAAGACCTTATATTTTGTGTTTTTTTCCGGATTAAACCTCAATTTTATTTTTTTCTTGAAAAAGACCTTGTATTTTTCCATTTTTTTCTATCTGGTTTCTGAAAAAAGTTGTAAAATGTGAGAGTTTTTTTCGGAAAAAACTAAAAAGTTAAGGGTTTTTTCGAAAATAGTTAGAAGGATGCGGGCTTTTTTTGGAGAAAAAAAAAGTTGGAGGGTTTTTTTCAGAAAAAAACTAAAAAAGTTGAGGGTTTTTTTGGAAACAGTTAGAAGGTTGAGGGGTTTTTCGGAAAAAAGACAAAATTGAGGGTTTTTTCGGAAAAAAAAAGAAAAAATATAAGGTCTTTTTCAGGAAAAAAGTAAAGTTGAGGTTTAATCCGGAAAAAACACAAAATATAAGGTCTTTTATGAGATTAACTCAATTTTTAAAGCAGAATGTTGTAACAGAAAGAAATGAAAGTGGGGTGATATAATAAAGAGTCAAGAAAGTATGTTGTTACTTTTTGCTTTTTATGATGACTTTTAATGCGTAAGATTCTTATTACTTGGAAATTTTCAAAGCATTAAAAAAAAAAAAAAAAAAAAAAAAAAAAAAAAAAAAGACTTACGTGTTCTTATAGAGCAGCAAGCCAAAACTAGGAAAATTATCAAAACCACATGAATCCCCAACACCACTGAAGAACCACTTAAAGAAACTCCACACAAAACTTATGCTCAAATACTTGCCAAGAGAGTTTACCTGTTTCCTGTATGAAATGAAATATATATATATCATAATGTTATTTTATTTCATTAATTCTGTGGATTTTTTTTGCCAAGTATTCAAAAAAAAAAAAGCAGCATATCATATAATATAAAAGACCATATTACCCTGCAAGCTCTGCCCCCGTGGTAGTGTGAAAACTATTTATCAACATTGCTGTGGCTGTTCCACTGGGGTATGTAAGTTTATAATCCATTACCATCACCTGAAATTCCATAAAAATACAAAAATAATAAATTGTTGATATTTCTTTTTGACTTAATGTAGAAAGAACGAGTTAACAGAGAAATGAGGCTTTCCGTATTAAATCCAAACATTTTACAAATTCACACCCATTTTAGTTTTTTCCCTCCAAACAAATAATTCTACTAAACATTATTTATCCAAACAAAACTTGTTATACCTTAACAATTAACATGCAAAATCAAAGCAAAAAAGAACAAGTTATTATTTATTACCTTGCGAAGTGGTACAAGACTGAAAAGGCCAAGAAAACTGACAACAAAAATGAAACCCATCATCCATAATAATCCCGGGTTCTTAACATCTTCAGCCCGATTTCCAGGGTAATCAGCACCAATCAAATTGTATGTTCTTTCATCCATTGAAAGTAGATATGACCCAAATCCACCTGTATACATACATACACACACACATTAAACAAATGATTTAAACAAGCAAACAGTATCACAACATGGTAAAAGCTATACAAATCTCTTTCATATGCAAAAAGATATCTCATGCCTTTAGAATAAGTTGTATTGCATTTGAAACGGAGACCAAAATTGCAAAAAGACGTGAATGCCCTCCTCACTAGTTCCAATTCTGAAATAAAGGCTTAAAATGCGTTTGGTTGCAGAAATTTTCTAGTTGAAAATGGAAATGAAAATTTTGAAAACGAGTTTGGTTGATTCAGTTTTCAAAAAATTTCCAAGAAAATTGTAGAAAACTGTTTTCATTTTCTAGAAAAATGTTTTTGGAAAATAGAGTTGAGTTTTCATTTTCGGTTTTCAATGAAAATTTTAGAAAACACGTTTGGTTGGAACAGGTGGAGTTCTCATTTTCCATCTTAGAAATTTAGAAAACTTTGGAAAATTATAAAAATCACTTTTCTAAATTACGTACAATTTGGAAAACAGAAAATTTTCATTTTCTTGGAAATTTTTTGAAAATTAAATCAAACAAATGCGTTTTCAAAATTTTCATGGAAAACTAGAAAATTTTCCGCAAAGCAGTCTCTTAGGTGTTAGCTTCTTTTTTGACTTGATGGATTTGATGGGGACAGGATTTATTTTGGTAAGCTATATATGCTGTGTTTCTTTTAGACTTAATAAAGAAAGTCAGGAAAATGAAACTTTTCTCACTATTTCCTAACTTGTTTTCATTTAGATGGTTTATGTAATGGATTTAAAAAGTTGGATGGCTTTTTTGACTCAAGTAACCAAATTAACAAATGAAATGAAAGTGCTATGTCATCTATTGCAATTTGCCCAATTTCAAATAGACGAAAATTATGATTGTTCCTTTCTAAAGTAAATATTCAAGCACAGATAAATAACAGAAATAAATATTGGTAATCACTGTCAAAAAGCACAACGATTAACTCTGCAATTAAGTAACAAAAGAAAAGGATTACCGCTGAAAGCAAGGCCATAGCAAGCAACAACGCAAGTCTGAATAACAGTGTTCTCCTGCTTCGTGAACGGCTTGACAAAAAACCCCAACTTATCGAGGAAAGTAGTCCATGATTTGACAAAGAAAAACCCCAGCAAACCGGCGGCGACGTTTAACGAAGGGATGATCCCGACGGTGAGATTGAGCTTGTGGGTGATGATACAAAAAAGTGTTCCCAGTAAAGCACTCACAACTAAACCCCTTAACGTGATCTGATCTTTCCATTCCGGAATCGTTTCTAGATCCAATTCGATGGGTTTCTCCTGATTTGATTCGTGAAGCAAGGGTTCCGATATTTCAACGGACGATCTGTGGTTCTCTGTTCCCATTTTTTTCAGAGATGAGTTGACGAGATGGAGATGAGATGAGATGAGTTGGTAGTAGTTTATTGAGGGAGTAGGAAGAAAGGCATTGACGAAACTCGAAGATGGAGTGACGAATACCCCTGAAAGCTCGCTAGCTTGCTTGGCGTAGTAAAATTGTGCCTCGATCTTTGATGCTTATTTTTTGTTTTTTGTGACTATTATTTTGGCACCCATTGGGAATGTCAATCGGATAAGGAGAGTAAACAGCAGTTCAATTTAATCTAGACAATTAAATTGTTAGATTCGTACACAAACACACTAACATTTTAAAATATAGTGTTTGGAGAAAAAGAAAAAATGACAAAAATAGTCAATTATCCTAATCATTTTGCGGAAAATAACAAAAAAAAATCGAATTTGCAAAAATGCCCATGAAAATCGCAGATGGGAATTGTCCATTTGCGATTTGCACATTCCATCTGCGAATGTACAAGTGGCTAAAGCATAAGTGTGCTTTAGTCACTTGTACATTCGCAGGTGGATTGAATTTTTTTTAATTTTTTTTTTATATATATAGGGCATTTCAGGGTTAAAATCGCAGATGGACTGTGTCCATCTGCGATTTTCTCTGTATTCCATCTGCGAATTTGCGTTTTTTTAAAAAAAAAATTTTTAATTTGACTATGAAATCAATTGGTTTGACTACAAAATAATGTTACTATATATAAACTTTTGTAAAAAATTATCAGTTTAGTTGCTATTTGTTTAGGAAATTTCTCTAAAATCTCTCTAAAAAAATGATTGAATATTTGGTTTGTCTTGTAACCGGTAGGAGATGGGAAGTTATTGAAACAAATCTATAATACGTATGTCCACAGGGAGGTATTTCTGAATTTGCTTTGATATTTTCTGAGTATATTAGTTATAGTGATTTTGTATCTTTGGTGAGAAGCAAAATTGGTTTGTTAGACAAATATAGAATTAGTCTTCGTTTCCATCATCCTAAATTAAATTATTATATAGCTATAGTTGAAGACATGGATATTAGAATGTTGATAAATGTAATCAAATGTAGTGGAGGAAGGGCTGTGAAAGTGTTTGTGGTGGTTGATGAAGTAGATGAGGTTAATGAGGGTGGTCACAGTGGAAATCAGCCGGTTGGTAATTTATGCAGCTATAAAGGGAGCAACGATCCGATAGGTACTTTCAATACTCCTAGTGTACCTCAGTTTCACAGTGTTGCTGAAAATGTTAATGTTAGTTATTCACCTATTAACTATGTGGATCCTGAGAATTACAAGTATGTTGGTGATGATGATGTTGGTACATATCTTAATGATGTGGGTGGTCGTTGTGATGATGTTGTCGAACAAGAAGTTTAAGTTATGAATAGGCGTGTGGTAGATAAAAGTAAAAAGAAAAAAAATTCGAGTCAAAAAAATTTGAAAAAAGCATGTTTACGGGGGATTATGTTGATGTTGCTGATGTACATTTAGATATAACCGACCTACAAAGCAATTCAGATAGAGATGAGTTGGGTGATGAAGTTAAAGCTAAGTTTCCCGATAACCTTTTTTACGGTATGCCCCCTGTACCAGCATGCCCAGTTGATATTAATGAAGATATCCCAACATAGATGGTAGACATGAATCTTCAAAAGATTGAATGTGAGAGTATATTTAAGAACAAAGAACTTTTAAAGTGGTGTATTGGTAAAAAATGTCTTCGAGAAGGTTTTCAGACGAGGACAAGTAGATCCACCAAATCAAGGTATGAAGTTGTGTGTGTTTCGAAAAATTGTTCTTGGTTACTAAGAGCAAAAGCAATTAAAAATTCTGATGGACTTTTCCAAGTGAATAAATTTGTTGATGTACACACATGTTCTTCAACAATTTTGCAACCTAATCATCGACAAGCAAACAAATATGTTTTGGGTGAATATCTTGCTGATGTTTTGGCTGAAGACTATAGTAGAGTTTATCGGGGAAAAGATATTATTAATGATATGAATGCTCAATTGAATATCAATATCTCATACCATCAGGCATGGCGTGCGAAGCAATATGCATTGTTGTTGTTAAGGGGTACGAAAGAGGATTCTTTTACCAAACTTCCGGCGTATTGTCACAATTTGGTCAAACATAATCCGGGTACGGTGACACATATTAAAACAGATGGTGATGATCGCTTTGAGTTTTTGTACGTCGCACTCGGTTGCTCGGTTAGTATTATAATATTTTATTAATTTTTTCATTTTTATTTTGGTGTATTTGAATAGATATACAATGTATTGTAGGTACGCGCTTTTGTCAAATTTTGTAAACCGACCCTAGTAGTAGATGGAGCCCACCTAAAGGGCGAGTTCAAAGGTACCATGTTACTTGCAGTTACTAAGGACGGACAAAACCAAATATTACCGGTTGCATATGGTATATGCAAAAATGAGTGTACCGATTCTTGGACATGGTTTTTTCAAAAACTACGTGATTGCATAGGAAATATGCAGGAGCTTACAATTATATCTGATAGGTCTCCATCTATAGCAACATCCGTTGCCAACATTTTTCCTCACGCTCATCATGGAATATGTGGTGTCCATTTGTATTTCAACATAGTATCTAGATTCGGGAAGAGTAACACAGTTAAAGGAATTTTTTGGGAGGCTTGTAGGGCGTACACAGTTGATGTTTTTGACGCTGCCATGGATGTTATGAAAAAGACAAAAGAACCAGTATGGGAGTACTTAAAAAGTATAAATCCAGAAACTTGGTCAAGGGCACATTTTAAAGGGAACCGATACAATCTTATGTCGTCCAACAGTGCGGAGTCTATAAATGCATTATCTAGACACGCACGTAAGGTGCCAATACTTATGTTGATCGATTTTTTTCGTGCAACAATGCAACAATGGTGGTTTCAAAGACGTAACTTTGCAGGTATTAAGTAAATTTTTAATATTAATGTTTTATTAATTTAATGTTATTGATCTTAACTTCTTCATTTTGCCTGTTTTTTTAGCGGAAGCAACAACAATACTTACCCCTTGGGCCAATGAAATTGTAAAAGAAAACAAAAAAACTTTTACTAAGTGGGATGTTCGCATGATCTCAAATACGAAATGCGAGGTCAAAAAGGGGGCACAAAATGTGATTGTTGATTTCCAACATATGACATGTACATGTAGGCATTGGCAACTTGATGGGATACCTTGTGGTCATGTCATAAGATGTTTAACAGTGAACAATTACCAAGACTGCTCGAGGTATGCATTAAATGCTTACTTTACCGAAACATTGAGGAAAACGTATGAGGAATCAATAAATCCTTTGCCAAAGCCATCCGAATGGGATATCCCCGATGATTTGATGATTGTTAAGCCACCTATAATGGATAAACGTCAGCCAGGCAGGCCAAGAAACACAGACCGCATTCCATCCCAAGGCGAGGGTCCAATTAGAAAAGAGTGTTCTACATGTGGTCAACTAGGACACACGAGAAACAATTGTACTGGAAGGGCGTCCGGTAGTGGAGCACGTCACACAATTTCTACTGCAGAAATGGCATTTAATATTGGTGGTTCAGCGAGTTGCTCACAAACCTATGACGCTGATTTTGATATAAAACAACCTTGAAATGAAGAGTTGTTAACTTATTATGTATTGTAATTTTTTTATTAAATCTTACAAGACATTGCTATGCTTTCATATTTTAGTTTAGTTTGTAGATTATAACAATTAATGAAGCTTTTATATTATAAAATTTAGTTTGCAGATTATAACAATTACAACATGTTATTTAAAAAAACAACAAACGATCCTTTTGCAACCTAATCTGTATCATGATAATATTACAACAATTTTGTAACTAATTTTTAAACTCAGGGAACTGCAATGGGTACTTCTCTTTCTCCATTGTTATATAGTCATCCCTAATTCTCATTTTGTCTTCCAAACGATCCTTTTGCACCATAATGTGTATCAACTGCTCGTCCTTCTCAGCAAGCCATTTTTCAGTCGTTTTGATTGCCTTCTTAGTCTTTTTTATCCAATCTTCATGCTCTTTGATTTTGTTTTTATTGAGGTCTATCCATTCTTGAGCTTGTTTGCATTCCGATGCAATATCATTACCACGTTGAGTGAGAAGTCGGGATGACTCTTTGTCCTCTTCTTGTTGTTCTTCAGCCTTCTTCAATTCTTCAAAATTTTCATCTGACATATATGGCCCGGCTGAAGAGGGTGTAAAAAAAGGGTCGACTGAATCACAGTAGTAACAATCTACTTCGTTGCATGAGCAAACTTCGAATTTGTGTGAGGAACTCATAATAAAGTCGACATTATAATAAACTGGTGCTATAAGTGGTATTTTACATACTAGTCTAAATGCTACCATTTCGTAGTCAGAGTTCTAATTCATAGTCCAACTTTGAAATGACTAGACATTAATGACAAGTCACTGCAGTAACCTGCAAATCGTAGTCAAACTCTTAAGTGACAAGACATAAATGACTGTTTGACATGATAAGTCACTGCAGAAAGCTGAAAATCGTAGTCCAAATGCAACCATTTCGTAGTCAAAGTTGTAATTCATAGTCCTGTATTTATTTATATAAATAGATGTTTAAGATCTAAAAACCAAACACCCAAATCACCTAAACGAAACGAACTCCCATATTTAGAAATGTCGTCGAATGTAGCAAGTTCTTCGAATGAAGTACCTGGTTCCAATTCAGAAAGGCCATGGACGACAAACGAGGTGTTGGTTCTTACACGATGCTGGCTAAGTGTTAAGGATGGTGTATCGTTACTTGCTCCCCCGCATTGCCTAGTAGGTGATGAATGGACTCGCATAACAGCTTTGTTCAACCATGAGATGGGAGAAGGACAACAACGAGAACAATCAGATGTTGTTACTAAATGGATGGATGTAAAGGAAGAAGTGACATGGTTCAATCGAGCGTGTAATTATGCGAAAAGTACCAAACTTCGTTGTCGGGACGAAGAAGAGTTCTTGGAAGTTGTTACAGATTTTTACATCTGTGAGCGTGACGGCAGAGACTTCGAATATGAGGAAGTTTGGAAGGTTGTAAAAAATAATCAGTATTTCATGTAGACCGCTCTAATTTCCGTTAATAATAACCCATGGACTTGTTTTTTATTTTAATGCTTTGTTTGTAGTATGTCGTTGTTTTTCATGTAATTGTTGTAATGTTTGTAATGGTTCATGGAATTC